TTACAAGTTTGATGATGGTGCAGATTATTGGCTACCGTGATAAAAGATATCAAATTAAAAAATTGTGCTAAGAATTTGTTCGAAAAGTGCAAAGATCCTCCTGTGATTTTTAAGGATTTGGATTTTTCTTTTCCTTTTGCTTTTTCCTTATTCGCGATGTCTTTTGTTTGTTTTTGCTTTTATTTGTTCGTTTTTACTTTATAACGTAGCAACAACACCTTTGCAAAAATTCCCTCAACAAATCTGGGGCCATGCTGCCATCATTATAAAAATGAGAAATACGGTCCGAAAAACAAGGAATTTCCCTTCGGAACAGCAGCAACTTTATTGATTAACGAGTAACGTTCGGTCAGAATATTCGCGGAGGAAAGTCAAGGTAATTTTGTGGTGTGAGAAAAGATTACTTCGTCAATGAATAATTTGAATCTGAGGAAGCTAAAATCTGTAGTGACCTGACTTAAAGATCGCTTCCAACCCCAAACCCGAAAGAGTTCACATTATTTACAAGACACGACAACGTTTTATCCACATAAATCAATTTAATCAAATTGTTATAATTTTTTTATTACACAATAATTTCAAGAGAATGTGCTCTCTTGGTATTGCTGAATTATTAAAAATTTGATTTGTTGTCGCTTTGTTAGGCTTGTAAAGATACTTGTGTTGTAACCACGAATGTTACTAGCATGTTGAAACATGTTATCAAATATATTGGGCAGAATGCCTTTATGCCATAAATGTAATAATTTAAACTCGAAATCGATATTATATATAAGACGCTCAGTGAATTCATAAGGGTTTGGCACTCACTGTTTCCTTGCCATCTGTTTTAGCTAGAAAAATTACTCAAGCAATATGAATTCGTTTTACTTGAATTTTCCTTACGAGTGTTTTGTATACCCCTCCCTAAGTTGATGTGCTATAATAAAAAAACGAATACCGGAAAGAGGTACTCATCAGAGAACGACAAGCTTTTATAAACTAACAAATGAAATGTTCTGAGAAGGCTTAGCGAAACCATTCAAGTGATCGGGTCTGTTTCGTCCACATGGATCATGGACAGTCCAGTTACACCCTGAGGAACCATCAAAATGACAGTACAGGATGACGGTTTTGAAAATTGGTCCATAGCCTACTATCCGTTAAAAAAAAATGCACTTGTGTATCTTTGCACGCGTCAGTTATATGTTGGATATCTCACAACTGATGTCACCTTCCCTGTAATCAACCAAGCTGTCATTTCTCGGATGACACACCAGTAATGTAATGATTTTAAGAATTCAATCACCTCTTTAAGATTCATGTGCGTGTAAGAGTTTGTTATTATGTCTTTGCTACTCGGCTCGAATAAAAATGTTACCATGTGGATCAAATACATTTTTCTTTTGGTTGGGCCCATTTGTTCCGAGAGGATCATGGGTAGGCCAATGGTTCCCTGTGTAACCGTCAAAATAGTAATAAAAGCTATTCGAG